AGTTTACCAAAAAATAGTCGTTTAAGATTTACTTGTTTGTAATTTTATTATTGTAATAGACATTTTTTTACATTTGTCAATTCGCTACTTTGTCCATTCGCTAGTTTTGTTGCAAAAGTTGTTAAATTAGAAATAATAAATTGTCTCGCATTTTTTTGTTTTTTTTTTAAACCTCAGGTGCCTAAAATTTTATAAATTTCTAAAAAACTTTGAATAAAAAAGTTAAAAAAATCAACAAGAAAATGTCGTTTTAGGTCTGAATTTTTTAATAAAGATTTTGAACCAAAAATTAAATTTTTATAAAATAAATTGTCAAAACAGACCAAAAAACGTTCGTTTTAAAACGTTTTAAGGCTAAAACTCTAAAAATCGTCGTTTTGGCTTATTTTCAAAACAGAAACATATAAATAAAATAAATAAAAATAGATTTATTTTATAAACTGTTTAAAAGCATTGATAGAAAATTTACAAAAAATCAGACAACGTCGATTTGAGTTTGAATTATTCTGAAAGATTTTGTTTGTTTTTGATCCAGAAACTTACCTATTTTGAGAAAATTTGTGGAATAAACCGGAAAGCCTTTGATCTAATGCTAATAAAAATGTGAGTTATCCTAAATTTAAACTAAAACTTGTCTTAAAAAAGCAATAAAAATTTATTTAAAAAAAGACACTAAAGATTTAATTTTGCATTTTAAACCCGGCGCATCCACCAATTTTGATACTTTTTTAATTTAATCATTTTTTTAATAATTGGATTTAAGTATTCCTTGCGGCAATTTAAATTTAAAATTCTGTTAAAATTGTTAAAAATTAAGCAAGAATAACATTAAAAAAAGCTGAATCCATTTATGGCTCAACTCCCTAAAGCTTCCTCCTCTTGTAATTATTTCTGAAAATTTCAATTTTCCTCGCGTTTATCCCCCAAAAATCGCGATCAATTTCCTTGTCGAAAGTATTATTTTTCTGATGTGCATTTGTAATTTCTCCAACAAGGTATAAACTCATCTCTTGTGCAAAAAATAGGATTTATCCGGCAGCCCCCGGCGTTGCGAGCAGCTTTTAAATTACCATTTTAGATCAGATGCGGTGAACGCACGTTCGAGCGATAGAAAAGCCATCAAACACCTGCCCGGAGTCGCTCCGGGCTAACCTACAGGAATGCACCGGAGTCGATCAATCCGCATTCAAATGTGCGATTTAATATCACAGTGATTAGGCGCTGGGAAATTTCGGTTAAACAGATTTTCGGACGCGTGTTCGATTTTCAATCTGGTGCATGAAAGGATTCCTGAAATGGAACTCCCGGACTCGCTCTAAATGGTAGAATTAGAGTTGGGCAAACTTTGAATGTCAATGCGACAAGCACTTGTAGAGTAGCTATATTTTTACTCTTTTTAAACTTTCTAGCTTGTTTTTAAACTAGAATTTTAAGGTTTTTGCAAGATTTCTATATAAGAAAAAAAACGCAAAACACTGCGTTAAGTTAAAAATTCTATAATTTTTTTTATTGTCTTAGCAAATGTTTCAGCTGAAAACGCAAGTATTTTGCATAATTTCACTAAAAACAAACTAAAATTTTAATACATTAGACTAAAAATTATGTTATGTTTGTCTTTTTTAAGTGAAATTTTTGAAATAATATAACAATTTTTCTTTAAATTATAAAATTGGTAAAAAAATACCGATCTTGTCTTTTTCAAACTTTAAAGTATGTTTTTCTACTAAAATTTCAAATTTTTTGCACGATTTCTTTAAAACTAACCGAAAAAACACCACATTAAATTAAAAATTATATATTTTTTTAAGTGTTCTATCAATCTAATCTAAAAATCAAAAATTACACCATTTTTTTTGACTTAATTTGTTGATTTTCTAGTATCTCTTAGTAAAATATTGCAATATAAGTACTTGAAATTTATTTAGTTGAAAAACTTTAAATGTCAATGTGACAAGCACTTGTAGAGTTTGCTAATAGAGACTAAGAACTTTGGACAATTTAACAATAAAGTGCGAAAATAAGCGACAAAGTAGAATACAGATAGTTCAAAACGATAAAGTTACGTGTTTCAAAATTTATTATGTTATACAGGAGGTCCGAAAGAAACGGTCAAAAAAAAAGTTCCTATGTCCGAAAATGCTTCCTAAGGTAGTTATACAGGGTGCGCCAGAACTCAAATGTTAAAAAAATTCCATCTATAAATCTATTTTATTATTCTTACCTGTACTTTTTCAACTAAGTTAATTTCAGGTACCTATATTACAATATTTCACTAAGTCAAACTAGAAATTCATTGAATTAAGTAAAAAATTACACGATTTTTGAGTCTTTTAATTGGAATTTTGTAATTTCGTTAAAAACAACATAAACATTTTCCAAATTTGGTCAAATATAACGTCATTCTAGCTCTTTATGAGTGATTTAGAACGTTTTTGAGATAAACACAAATTTTTCAAAATATTTCCTTAAAATTGTCCGAAAAATTACAAAATTAGAAAGAATTGATAGCTTGTTTTGATCGATTTAGTTTGTTTTTGAACCAAGAACTTTCTTACTTTGCAAAATCTTGTCAAAACACGACTAAAAATTACAGAAACAAATTGAAATTAATGATATTTTGTGTTTTAAGAGAAAAACTATAAAATTTGGCCAGAAATTTAGCTATATTTTCTAAGCTTTTTAAACAAGAATTTTAAGTTTTTTGAAATATTTCGATAAAAAAAGTAAAAATATGACATTAAGTCAGAAATTATATATATTTTTTCCTTGTTTTTGCAAATGTTTGAATTAAAGACGCAAACAAGGTAAAAATTTACCGAACTAAAAAAAAATATGTTATATTTGCCTTTTTCAAGTAAAATAGACACACTTTTTAAATAATCTAACTAATTAAAAAAATTTATAACATTGGTAAAAACTACCAAATTAGAGTTATCTTGTCTTTTTCAAACTTTGAAGTGATTTACTAAAATTTCATATTTTTTGAACGATTTCTTTAAAACTAACCTAAAACATTGAGTCAAAAATTATAGATTTTTTTTCTTTTTTTAAGTGTTCTATTTAAATTTTCAGCTAGCCCATAACAAAGGCAACCAAAAATTCAGCAAATTAGGCCAAAAATGGTGTTATTTCTATTTTTTTCAAGTTTTTTTTTAGCCTTTTAATTGGAATTTTGTAATTTCGTTAAAAACAAGCCAAAAATTTTCCAAATTTGGTCAAAAATAATGTCACTTTAGCTCTTTTCGAGAGATTTAGAACATTTTTGAAATAAAAACAAATTTTTCAAAATCTTTCCTTAAAATTGTCTGAAAAATTACAAAATTAGATAGAATTGATATTATTTTAGTTCGTTTTAATCGGTTTAGTTTGTTTTTAAACCAAAGACTTTCTTACCTTGTAAAATCTTGTCAAAACACATAGAAACAAATTGAAATTAATAATAATTAATAATATTTTATCCGACTTAAGCAAAAAATTTGTCAAAAATAAGGGAAAAACTACAAAATTTGACCAAAATGTTGCTATATTTTTACTCTTTTTAAACTTTCAAGCTTGTTTTTAAACTAGAATTTTAAGGTTTTTTGCAAGATTTCTATATAAGAAAAAAAACGCAAAACACTGCGTTATGTCAAAAATTCCATATTTTTTTTTATTGTCTTAGCAAATGTTTCAGCTGAAAACGCAAGTATTTTGCATAATTTCACTAAAAACAAACTAAAATTTTACTACATTAGACTAAAAATTATGTTATGTTTGTCTTTTTCAAGTGAAATTCTTGAAATAATATAACAATTTTTCTTTAAATTATAAAATTGGTAAAAAAATTACCGATCGTGTTTTTTTCAAACTTTGAAGTATGCTTTTCTACTAAAATTTCAAATTTTTTGAACGATTTCTTTAAAACTAAACGAAAAAACAGCACATTAAATCAAAAATTATATATTTTTTATTGTTTTAGCATATGTTTTAGTGGAAACCGCAAGATTTGGCATAATTTTGCTAAAATTTTTGGTATTGAAAAAGTTGTCGTTTCAATTTATTTAAAAAAGCAGTGAATAACAATATAATAATAATGTTACCAAATTACAAGACTATGATTCAAATCTTTTTAATAGTGTTGACGGTTCACGGTTTTTTACATAAATCTTGCAAAATGGCAAAAATAATATAATTTTTGACTTGTTTTAGAAAAATTCTGCAGAAAGCTTGAGACAATTTACGACCAAATTTTGTTTTTTATTTTCGAATAATTTTTGTTCAAAAAGTTAAATCTACTTACTAAAAATAAAATAGTCAATTTTGGTTTGTTTCTGTGATATTGAATCTTTGATACATATTAAACGTAACAGTCAATGCAAGACAATGTAAGTACATAATTTTGGATCAGTCTGTATCAACCTAGTTCTTAAATTTTTTTTAGAATTTGGTACAACTATAAAAATAAAACTAAACTCTTCATAAAAATTGTTTAAAACAAAAACATTAAATCTCTAATATCCGCTTCAAGTTGCAACAACAATTAAAAACTAAATAAGTACAAGCAAAATTTTTTCATCTTAATTTTTTCATACTTTCCTGAAAATTTATTCTATTAATTAAATTAAAAAAAGGAAGTTTCTGGTTCAAAAACAAGTCAAATAAGTTTAATAGAATATTACAAATAGTAAAACACAAATTTAGCTATAAAAAAGTGAATAACTGGACCAAACTAAAAAAAATTGAAAAATCAAATTTGAATTTTTTTGTAAATGCGAATGAGAAATATTGTCATACAGTTTTTGTTTAATTTTGTTGAGCCACAACTAGAATTGAACAAGTTTGTGTAATTTTTCCATAAATTATTTATTTATTTAAAATAATATCATTGTGCTAGAATCAATACCCAAATGTCATTATAATAACATAATAACCGGCTTCCCTAATAAATCGTTTTTAAATAATAGCTTTGTAAATTCGATTTCACTTCATAATGGCCAACCCAAATTAGACTACAACAAGCAATGAAAGCCGTTGTTTTATTTCCCTTTCTATTCGTATTAATGAAAATTTACTTATGTTGGGACGTAATGCAGATCGGGGTAATTCCAGTGCCTTTAAATTTTTTTTAATGCCTTGGTTTTTAAGGGAAAACAAGCCCGCTTTGACCGTTTTGACGGCATGTGTCGCGGCTACAAAAACATCAAAATTTTGTTCAATTATTACGGCTTCCAAAACATCGGTAATAAACTCTACATGAACTCGACGATAACAGTAAAAGAAGACATCACCGCCCCACCGACGGTAATCATTAATCAAATTTGAGTTTTTTTTCAATTTAAGAATCACAGTTGACCCTCAATATCAAGAGATGTCGCTCGAAGGAAAACCTCGACACTTGTGAAGACTTCTACTCTTTCACTTCCAAGCAATACTGCAAGTTGATTCAGTCCGATTCGGAATTGTGGAACCCGTTTTTCGCCAGTATTGAGCCCAAATGGCGTTGTCCCATCAAAAAAGGGGTCTACAAGTCGATCAATAGCAGTTTTGATGTGACCGCAATTCTGTTGTTTCCCGTCGATGGGTGGTTTTGGAGGGTCAGAGGTGACATGTTTGATGGACAAAGTGGGAAAAGGATTATGTGTGTGATTGTCGAAGCCAAAGTCATGTTCAAAAATACCGCCTGAAAATAAACCGCTCTAAAACTCCCCTGAAACTTTTAATTGCAGATTAAGTGCGCTGAAAAATCTGAAATTGACAAAGGAACACATGATATAACTGTACTAAGTGAAAAGTTGGTCAAGGTTGCAAAATAACCAAAAAAGTGGGCTATGACTTCAAAAATTAAGTTGGCAACATTTTTAATTACAGGACACTTTGATCAAAAATTTAATTGTAATTTTTATCCGGTTTTATGTAAATTGAAATTATGAAATGTATTTTACACTAAATTGATATCTAATCTTACAAAAACGTTTTGTTCTAGAAATTTATTTAGCTGATGCAAAAAATCTCAAAGTCTGTTAAAAAATTGACAATGAATAACAAAATCAACTTCCAAAAATTGTCAGAGTTTGAATAAAATTTATTTTTGTCTTAATCAAAGATATTTTAGTGCAATTTAGAATTTTTTAAGTAGTAACATCAAAAACCGTTTTTATGACAAATGTCATGTATTTTGACAAACCACACTTTAATAATATAAAAGTATTTTATAAAAAAAATTATATTAAAACATGTAAAACTTTTACATTTAGTTATAAAAGTGGTCACTTTTGTGACATTTGCGGATAAAAAATAAAATATGTTTTTTAACAAATTTTAGTTTTAACTTAATAATCAAAATTATTAATTAACTATGGTAGGTATTAAGATGATATTAAAATTGCGACACTTGAAAACATACTTCTCTAGTGTTTTCGATTTTTAAACCTAATAATTTTTTTATGTTTAGAAAAGTTTTTTAAAATACCGGGTGACTATTAATACTTCTGACAAATCTATTTGCAACACTGAATTATTGGTAATTATTCTAGTTTCACGTTTTTACTTAGGACTCAAGGTTGCCCAACCAAGATTTTAAATTTGATAAAAAAATGGAATCATTTAGAGACATCCGCTACAATTTTTTTTTATTAAAAAACTTAATGCTTCTTAAAAAGGTGATTAATTATTAATTATATTAATATTATTTTAAAACTTCAAAACATTGTTAAACTTGTTTTTGCAGTTAAATGCTAATTTTACCTTTGTTTTTATTCAATTTCTTATTCGTTAATAGCAAACTACTATAGGTGATATTAAAATTGCATCACCTAAAAGTTATGTTAAATTCTCTCAGTTTTTTAACTAAATTACTTGTGTTTGCAATGTTTAATACAATGTTTTTATCTTCTTAGAGAATGAAATCATTACATATTTGAAATAATAAAAAATTGAGTGTTAAAAAAACAATTTTTTTGTTCAAACTTAAAAAACTTGGAGTGATAAATTACATTTTCGTGTCATAAATTATTATTTCCTGGGAGGCAATTGTTAACTTCAATTTTAAAACGTGTAAAAAAGTGACTAAAATTTCAAAATCTATAATTTCTTTAAAATTCCATAAGAAAATTTCTATGAAATTGTACAGGTTAAAATAGAAAAAAAATTATCACCGATTTTCGTTGATTATGTACATTATTAATAATTTTTGCTCTGATTATACTATCCATTTTTTTGTTTTGTGATTTTCTCATTTATTTTGCATAAAATAAAAGTAAGCAAACATAGAGATTTTATAAAGTTGAAACATTTTCAACGACATGAAACGGACATTCTTTATAACGTCATACAGAAAAATACAGGGTGTTAAAAAAAGATTGTAAAATAGTTAAGGAGGTAATGGTATAGACCAAAATAAACAAAAAGCTTTTTTCTTTTTTGTTTGAACAAATGAAAGTTTCAAAAAACAAATAATTTTCGATATCTCCGTAACCGTTACTTTGCAAACAACAATCTTTTTTTAACACCCTGTATACACAAATGGAACCATGAGTTTTTTTAATCATTTATCTATAGAAAATTAATTATAAAAAATATGAGTGTTTTGAGTTTCAAAATGGCAATTTTTTTGATAAGAATTGAATAAAATACATACATAGTTACAATTCTTAGATTATAACCTCTATAAAAAAAGATTTTAATTTTAAATTTTAAATTTTGCAAAACTCAAGACCAAAAACAAATTTCGAAAAATCTCTTGATAAAATTAATTAGTTTTATCATAGTATATAAAAGCCGACTTTATTAGAACAATAAACATATAAAAATAAAATCTTCTTAATTTTACTTCATTAAAAATTAAAATTAAGTCGCTTTAAGTGCAACAATTGCTAAGATCGTATCAGAAACAAGTTTGAAATATGGCAACAGTGCGTGAGTTGTCCCCACAATTAACTAATTAATTAACCGACGCCGTCTGGTGCCAATTGGCTCAACTACCATTCTGACGTTTCAAATGTCACACACTAATTGATTTGATTGGCTAATTAGTCCGAGGGTGGAGCCTCGAGACTAATTAATTAATTTCCGTTAGAATTGAGTCGATTTCTTGTTGTTTCAGAACGTTTGAATGTTTTGTACGAGAAAAACTGGACGCGATTGGTAACCGAGCAATTGAAGAGATTTGAAAGGGCCGTCGTCGAAGCCGGCAAAGCAGATGGAGCGGCTAATCCAGAAGCGCCTCATTGGACCTTCGGCGGAGCCCTTTTGTATTCTCTCACGCTGCTCACGACAGTCGGTAAGGAGATTTCAGGATTCTTTCAATTATACTTGACGGAGAAGATGTCGACACTTTTTTACACTTTTTCTTTCCAATAACACGAGAGTCTCTGTAACTTGCAAAGGAAATACTTCACACGATAACAATTCACTTTCAAAGAACAACAAAAGCACATCTGGGGTTTTTTGCATTTCTTTTTTAAATTCAAATTGATTTTGTTGCGCATTCTTGATCAATTGAAAGTAGGGTAAATCCGGGAATGGTAGATCAACGGGGGAGGTGAACTATAGAACATAAACTC